AGTTTTGATTTGCATTTCTCTGATAATTAGTGATATTGAGCATTTTTTCATGTGCCTTTTGATCACTTGTATGTCTTCCTTGGAGAATTGCTTGTTTAGGTCTTCTGCCCATTTTTGGATTGGGTTGTTTATTTTTTTTTTATTGAGTCATATGAGCTGCTTATATATTCTGGAGATCAAGCCTTTGTCGGTTTCATTTGCAAAAATGTTCTCCCATTCCCTAGGTTGTCTTTTTGTTTTACTTATTGTTTCCTTGTTTACCTGTTTTATATACAACAGTGTGTATCTGTTAATTTTAAACCCCTAATTTATCCCTCCCCAGGTATACCTAACTGTGAAGAGCAAAACTAAAATTTTACTGGAAGAAATTAAGAAAACATATTTTTAGGCATTCATCTGAGGAAGGATTTTCTTTTAGTGGCGACTCAAAAGAACACAGACTACAAAGACAAATATTCATAATATCAATTGCATTCATTAAAGTCTTGTACGTCAGAACACACCACAAAAAAATGGAAAAGTAAGGTGCAGCCTGGGAAAAGACATGAGGATGGCAAACAAATGATAAAGTATCAGAGTGACAGAGGCTGTTCATGGTCATCAAATCCCCGCAGCTCCTCCACGAGTCCCAGCCTCGCTCGTGGTTGGAGAGTTGGGAGCCTATGACCAGGTTCTGGGCAGTGGGATGTGTGTGAAAATTACGGAAGCCAGTTCCAAGCTTTGCCCTTTGAGGTGCCCTGTGGCGCTGTGTGGGGACCCCCAGGTATACTCCCATGTTTGGAGATTCGCTTAAGGGACTCACAGTATACAGCTTATAGGTGTAGTCATGGCGCAGGTTTCCTAGTGACAGAGTAAACATTCAGTGGCAGGTCATAAGGAACAAAGACACAGGTCGAGTCTTGAAGAATCTGTATACAGGCTTCCTCATGCTCTGCTCCTCCTGGGAGGGCTCCCCAGCGCTCACATTTCCCTCAGCAACGAAATTTATGCAGCAGCGTGAGTGTGATGCTTCTGCCAAGGGAGCCCCTTAGGGGCCAGTTTTTACTGGGAGCTGATCCCACAGGCACCCACCAGAAGGGAAACTAGTGTTCAGCGTTAACTGTGTTGATTGCACCAATGGTCTAGGCACAGTGAGACCCTCTTCTCAGGGAAGTTTCTGTCGGTGTGGGCAACTGTTCTCCAGCCCAGCTCCCACTGCCAGCCAAAAGCCAGGCTTGCAAGCGTAGCGTCCCAAGCACTGCATTCGCAGGCCTGCTATATTAACTTTTTTCTACATGGGCACCCTTCAACTCTTTTTTTTTTTTTTCCATGCCTTGGGGAATTTGGAAGGTACCCATTACCATTTGACTAATTAAAATGTGGAAGCAGCCTGGCTCACTGGGTCATAATTTGGTAAGCAACCACAGAGGGAGGCTCTGTTCCTGGCACACTGGACTTGGGGAATAGAAATTTACCGAGTTAAACCACTGGGATTTTAGGATTTGTTTTATTTTCTGCAGCAGAGCTGCCCTTGTCTGATAGACTTAGTATCTACAATGAATAAATAATTCTTATGAGTTAATAAGAAAAAGCAACCCAGTAAAAATGGTAGTACCTAATCTAGGTCATTCACAGAAGAGTCAACGTGAATTCTCACTGAACATGTGAATACATTCTCAACCTTACTTAGGCTCAAACTCTTGCAAACTGAAACAATAAGTTATGACTTCAAACTTACCAGCCTGGAAAATGTTCAAAAGAGTGACAGTCTGAAATCTGAGTAAAGAGACAGACTAGGGAGAACTCTTACAGTACAGAAGAGCATTGCCGCTCTATCAGAAAATGTTTTGCGGATATACTCGGACAGACAGCACTTCTGGATAAATTAACGAAATACTCCAGTTACTTAGGTTCCTTCCACTGTCTTTATTTAACAGCTGCACATAACCACGTTCTCTGTGTCAAGAGAGGCTGAGTGTTCTGAAGGGTAGTCAGAAGTTCACAAGCTTGGCGATGTTGGCTGAAGGTAAATGGAGGAAATAGAGCATGCATGCCAAGGTGTAGTTGGATGGTGTGTGTTAATTAGCATAATGAGAAGCAGATGCTTTTGCAACGAGGCTTATTGCTGCCTGCGGAGTTGAGGCAGAAGAGATGTGGCTTCGTCCCAGCATCCAGCATCTGGTTTGCAGATGTGGTGAGTGGCCAGGCGCATGTGAGGAATTAAACGGAGATGCTGCTCCCTTGATTGATGCAGGAGACTTCTGTTTGGCAGTGAAACTTGAACTGTGAAAGTGGAGCAAATCACCATGTGGATAATCTTCTGACCCTGCACGGGATGTAGACAGAGAAGAGCCAGGAGCCAGCCAAAGTCTCAGGGACCCATGAAATGGAAACCAGCTGCCTTGGGAGACCGTCAGGGAAACATCAGATACCCACGTGTACCTCAAATCTGCCCCACCCCAGTTGTGTGTCCTAGATGCTGTATAGGATGATGTCAGGGAAATGTAAGGTTGAGTAGACAATTCCAGGGGAGTAGACAATTCCAGACCATGTCTAGGCTGGTCTCAAACTGCTGGTGGTAATGCTGCAAAGATCCTTAATGAGAATCAGATCTCCCAGAATTCCCGCCTTTCCTCCCTTGAGCTTAAGGAGCCCCATCCCTGCCTCACTAGGATTTTTGTCTTGGATTTGTTCAGTTGTGCTGCCCAGGAAGCAGGTGAGGTCTGAGAACACCGGGCGAACTTCTTGCCTGGGATTGGCACTCACTCCTCAATTTCAAGCATTTTGTATGTAGCCCAATAGGCGCCATCTCCAGCCACCCAGTGGCCACCCACCCTGAATGCTGCTATCACCCACAATGCTGAAACCCAGTCACACGGATGGGACACGCAGTGACACCTCAGTGTGAAGAAACTTCCCATCATGGAATGATTAAATGATCAGTAATAGAGAATTTACAGGGAAACGTGGTTCTGGAACTCTCCATCTAGGGGTCTGAAGTTGATAGCCTTGGCATGTAAGCCCTCGGTTTTGGAGACTCAGCAGAATATCTCTGAGAACCTGACTATACTGTTTCTGCCTCCCTGACACACATTTCCTTGTTTTGTTGTTTACATCAACTCTCAGGGCCTTCTCCAATCCTCCAGCTCTTTCTACCTCATCACTCAGACAATGAAAGGCAGTGTTTCATAACTAATGTTGCACCATTAAAAAAAAAAAAAAGAAAAAGAGTCTCAAACAACAAGGCAACAAGGTCCTACTGTATAGCACAGGGAACTATATTCAATATCTTATAATAGCCTATAATGAAAAAGAATATATTCAGATATATATATCTGAATCACTATGCTGTGCACCAGAAATTAACACCACATTGTAAACCAACTATACTTAAAGAAAAAAAAGCCAGATACTAACCACTGAAATTCAAATCCAATTGTAAGTTATGCTAGAGATTTAAACCCTTAAGGGTTTTTTTTTGTTTTGTTTTGTTTTTTGGTTTGGTTTATTTGGGGTTTTTTTATGATTCCAGATCTGTTCAATTTTGTATTTATTATCACTACA